AGGTCGCGCAAGACGAAGCGAAGTTTCAGAGGGAAAAGAAGATAGACGATGCGTAAGCACGGGGGATGGATGACAGTTACAAAAACGAGGAAGAAGGCGCGAAGGAAAGAAGGTAGCCGTAGGAGGAGGGGGGGGGGGGGGGGGGGGGGGGGGGGGGGGGGGGGGGGGGGGGGGGGGGGGGGGGGGGGGGGGGGGGGGGGGAGTTGGAAGTTAGCTTGCACGGTGGGAAGCCGAAGCAGCATGCGTGGAAAAGAGTTACGTTGCGCCAGCCCGACTAATTCAAATTTTCAAAGAAAAAACGAAAATCTGAGCGCCTTCGCGCAAAGCCCTAGTTAATTCCGGTGTGGGCGGGGAAAATCGTACGCAAGAAAGGACACGTCGCCATAATTTGTGTCCCAAGAATCCAAAAATTGGTATTGCCGATTCAAAAGTTGAGCGCGCGCTCACTAAGGCGCGCGTAAATCCTATGAAAGCTCAAGAATTCCGGAAGTCCTCTAGATGAATTTCACGACAAAATTCAAAATTACTGTCGCTTAAACCATATCGAAAACCGGCTACTTGCAAAGTTTCCGAGAAGGTGTGCCAGAGAAAAGAGAGAAGATGGAGGTGGAAAAGCAGAGGCTTGCAAGAGCGGGTATTATGGGAGTGATATCAGTAGCTCTAGCGAAGCCCAAGGTGAAGCACCACCTGACTTCAAAGGGGGTTCGGGGCTCTGCCCACCTACGTAAGATAGTACGTCACATATGTGACGAGCAAGGGGTTCCAAAAATATGCAAGCTCCTGATTGCATGCAATGAAAAAAAGAAGACCTATGGTACACATGCATCCATCATTCAGAAAACATCAGCTTCAACCAAATGAGGTCAGGTAGATCAATCAAGTCAAAGTTAATGGTTGATGATCTCCTCTTCATCCTCGATGTTGATTAGGATTATAGGGGACCCAGAGGAAGGAGGGGAGGGGTCGAGGAGGAGAGTCGGGAAGCATAGGAATATTCGGGGGTGATTTCGGTGTGATGGACGATGCGATGCGCGCGGGGGAAACGATGATTGAGGCGGGGCAGGGCTTCGAGGTATTCGGCGTAGAGAGAGGGGATGGTATTTAGAATGCCGCGTCGCCTATCACTGAATTTTTCCGTCGGGGGGAAGATCCTAGAAATGATACAGTAAAGCTCCATGTGATTATGTTGTGTCCATGCGATGCTAAAGAGAAGGATGTGGAGATGGAAGACGAGGGGAGCACCTGAGGAGGGATGGAGGAAGACGTTACAGAGGAGGCGGGCGGCGTGGTGTTGGTAGAAGTTTCGATTAGCGAAAACTGGATAATCGGGAGGGAACTGGATGTGACGAAGGAGCGAGAAGGAGAGGAAATCAAGGGGGCGGCGGAAAAGATGATGAGGGCGAAGAGCCAGAGTAGGGAGGTGGACGGGGACGAAGCGCGGAGGGGGCTGTGGAGGTGGGGGACGGGGATCGAGATCGCCGGTGCCTTTTTGAGGGACCTGCGCCATCGTGACCACTGGCGGCTTCTGCTCGCGTAGGTCTCGTTGATGTCGACGGTGGTGGTGAAGGTTGGCGGCGCGGCAGATCTTCAGGACGATCGGGGAGCGGCTCCCCTCCCCTCTCCCTCCAGCGCTCAAAAGCCCCTAGATCAAACTCGTTGCCCAATTAATCCTCGCTTGACTCACTCGGAGAAGAGGGTGATGATACTTCCCCGTGCCGGATGTGCGGATTCCAAAAGTCCAATCGACGAGAGTCGGTAGGCATCATGTAGTTAGGGAGCAAGGACTGCCAACTAGCCGGATCGTCTAATTTGGAGAAGTCGCTATCGAGTTTCGTCAGTCCAGTCACCGTAGACTCGAGTACTCGTTCCAACGTCTGAGGCGCAATTTGATTGGGATCCCAAGGATTGCAAGAAGTGATGTCGAGAGGTAGATCGTCAATGATCTGCGCGAGGAAGACAAACACTTTGTTGACGACGCTAGAGCGGCCTCCCTCCTCGACGCTTCCAAACAACAAGCCCGCGAGCACTCCGTATGTGTCCGTCTGCCACACTTGTGAGAAGAAGAGTGATCTCGTCCGGCTCGGTCAAAGTGCGATACTCGTCGAGGACAATCCAATGCACCTTTATGGCTAGCAGGCAAAGGCTGATTGCTTTTATGGCGGCCTAGCGACACCGCAAAGAGTAAGGAGGAAGTTGGGGAGTGCGAACTGGTCGGATCTACAAGGAAAACGTGGGATTAGCTCTAGAGGACCAGAGAGTGGGGAGATAAAAGGGGAGAGAGAAGGTAGAGAACCGATTCATCAGCGACGGAAAGACTGGAGAGGGGGGAGAGGAGGTAAAGGAGGATCGGAGGGTTGAACATATTATTCGTTAAAACAGTACATTATTGTGTGTACTATTTTGAAACGAATTTATGACATAGTGTATAGTCTGGTGTAGTATTCCAAATCCGGATACATCCAAACAAGGAGTAAAGCAGCTTTGAGGCGAGGAGCACACTCAATACATATATCTGCTGCGCTCCTCTCGTGGTTCAGATGTGTCCAGATGTGGAACACCACAGCAGAGTATACACTGTGTTATACGCCTCTGAGTCAGTACATATATTTGCTACCACTGTGCTATATGTATTGCTGCCTCAGTACATATATCTCCTGTGTCCAGATGTGGAACACCAGAACAGAGTAATATATTACACTGTGTCATAGTTTCACTTGGAGTTGAGCATCCCACTCATCCGAATCAGAACAGTATAATGACACAAACTCGAGTTTGTGAGTAAAACGAGTTATGGCTCTTCACAGACTTAGAGGAGTGGGATGACTTGTATTTAGAAATGTGAGGACCAGAATGAATTGGAGTTCTGCACCGATGATCGTGTACATGTATAGAGCGAGAGAGATAGAAAGAGAGAGAGAGACAGAAAGAGCGAGAGAGAGAGAGACAGAAAGAGCGAGAGACTGAGAGTCTTAGAGAGACTGTACTTACTTTTAAGGAGACGCAGGGTCGAGCACACGCGTAGACCATCAGCCTCGTTTTTTAAAGCATTTCAGATGATCGTTGAAGGAGAGCAGCAAGGTAATGTGAATTTTCAAGATAAGCGAAGCTCGGATGTATCCGAGATCACAGAAGATAGACAGACAGAGGAAGTCCGCAAGAAATGGTCGTGTACATTTGAAGAGCGAGAGATATAGAAAAAGAGAAAGAGACAGAAAGAGCAAGAGACAGAGTGTCTCAGAGAGACTGTACTTAATTTTCTCGAGACGCCGCACGGACGGCGCAGGGTCGAGCACACGCGGAGATCACCAGCCTCGCTTTTAAAAGGATTTCAGATGATCGTTGCAGAAGAGCAGCAAGGCAATGTAATTTTCCCAGATAAGCGAAGTTCGGATATATCCGAGATCACAGGAGATTGACAAAGAGGAAGCCCGCAAGAAATGACATATTAGCACGCCAGAGGGCTGAGAGATGGAAAAGATAAGCACCGTATAGTCACCCACATCATTTCGTGTTATGGACGTATCCGAAGTGTCGAACTAGTATAGACCCTTCAATTTGAAGCTTCCCCCGTGCTTTTTGGGACACAGTTTAAGAAGTATCTTTTGCGAAACTGAGAGAGAGAGAGAGAGAGAGAGAGAGAGAGAGAGAGAGAGAGAGAGAGAGAGAGAGAGAGAGAGAGAGAGACAAACATTGTACCATCATCCACCACATTTTTTATCCATCTGGAGTGTCTCGGCTGTGAGTCGCTTCGCTACGATCTAGACAGAGCTAACAAAGATAGAAAGAGCGCGTCAGAGAGATGGAGAGGGAGACAGAGACAGAGACAGGGACATAGACAGAGACACAAAGAGAGACAGAGAGAGTGTGGATGATCGCGCTGAATTTTCTTTTCATGTCGACATGTGGCACAGGAGACGCATGTTCGAGGAACACGCGAAAACCACAAGTGTAGTTGTACAAGAGTTGCAAGGTTTTCGTTAGGCTAGAGTAAGCCAAGTTCGGATGCATCCGAGATGACAGGGGAGAGGGAGTCTGAAGCAAACAGCAAATGAGCGCACTAGACACAACTGTGGGTGTG